CCTCCGATGAACGCGGATTCAGTTGCCTTTGAAGAATGATGGTTCCTGAGGGTGCTGCTGACACAGTTATGAAATGGATTGTAGGGCTAGTATTCAGGGTGGCGTTGCATAAGCATTGTAAGATAAGCGCTCGTCAGTAATATTGCCAAACTTGTCTTATCGTGGTGGCGCTGTTAGATAGGTAAGTCTTACAGGACATCCCTGGAACAACTCGTCGATCGACGAGTTCGGTCGTGATACAGTGATCGGAGCTATCGAAGGATTGTCACGAACGGAACAATTTGTCCGTGCTGCTCAAAAACCGCAACCTCTAACGAAAACGCCAAACGAGCTATTCTTGGACTACCACTTCATCAAGATGTTCAAATCATCAGAAAGTAAGCACCAGGATCAAGCAATTGTTCTAATCTGACTTCTCTCAGTAATTTAGGTAAATTGTATTACTTCTTCGGAACTTTTTTTTCAGGCCAGCTAATCAAAATGCTACGACCTTCCGGGGAATTCAACGGGACGACATCAAATGATAACATTATTCAGTCGTTCAAGGTCAGCCTTGGCTGGATTATTTTACATTGAATTATTTTTTTCTGGAAACAAATGCCAGCTTTTGTCTTGGTCAAAAGCTTACATTGATAGGATCTGATTAAACGTCAAGATGAGGAAATAGCGGTTCTCAAGCAAGAGGCAAAGCGAACGGCTGCGCAAATTCGAACAACTAAAACAAGCGGTAAGGAAGAAAAAAATCACAGAGAAAGTCGTATCTAGTTCTGCTCCTTTATCAACGGTTGAAGTTATTTTCTGATATCAGAGCGATAAGTCGGAGCTGGAGCGCGAGCTGGAATCAGTTAGGAAGAATCTAGAAGAGAGCCTCGTTTTGAATGCTCAATCAGAAGGAATGCAGCTGCAGATGCAAGAAATGTATCGGTAAGTAGGCCATGAACATCTCTCCCGGCATTCCTTTATTCATATTTATTCTAGCTTTTCGAAGTGCAATTGCTATTTCCAGTGTAAATGAACAGTGGCGTGCCGAGGCGGCGAAGTATAAGCAGTGGGCCGAGCAATGGCAACAGTATCAAATAGCACAGGTACAGTGAATATGTATTCTTCGGTGTCGGTTCCGGCAGTTCGGTAGAATATGCGTTTAAGTCAACTTTTCAGCTTCCTAATCCTACGGAAACCGCTGTTCAATATCTTCAACAACAAGTCCAACAGTTGGAGCAGCAACTAGCATACGGGTACCAGGCTTTCGAAGAGCACATGGGAAAATCGGTCCGTTTGTCCGCCTTTCCACCTTTGATTGCACTTAATTTCGAGTGTACTCACTGTAAAAGAAGATTAGATCCTTAAAGGCAGAATTACGATAAAAAGGCAACTCGCTAGAAATCAAGGTAGAGGCGATTGTGGTGATTTGTGATGAAGAAGAACAGTAGAAACGAGCTTAGAGCTAGAGATGAGACCTTTCTGCCGTGTGTCCCATTGGCGCTGACCTCATAAACGCTAGCTTCCTTTGCTAGTGCGGCTAGAGTCAGACGGCGAGCGGTGGGTGGGTAGCGGCGCGGGAGTGGTTTTGTAAGCTGCTGGAAACATACCCCTAGCTGGAAAGCGCGCAATCGCCCCGAGACCCATTTGGTGCACGTCTTTTACGCTGAATACATGAAAGCAAGACAGGAGCGTTGATACTGATGCGCCAGTCGTACAATCTCGTCGAGTGTTTAGATCATTGAGCAACAAAGGAAGTCTTGTTTTTCTTGTTTTAGAGCGTTTCCTTCTTTCTTTGGCAACTGCACTGTTTACCACTTTTTCTTAAGTTTCCAATGGCATCTCATTTAATGTACTCTCTGCCTTTAAGCAGTTGATCTGTAAGCTCAAAAAAGGTAACTTTATCCTAATTTTATACAAAGCTGAAACGTTTAGACAGCCAAATATGCTACTGACTGCGCTGAGTGGAAGCGCAGGGCAGAAATCGCCGAGGCGGAGAGTTAGCAAAAGAAAAAGAATCGAAAAAACAACAAAACGCTGTGCAGAACGGTGAAAATGGGCTGTCGGTGAGTGAGATTCGTGCAACTCATCACAATGTTTTAGCTTTGGCTTTTACGATGAACGGCTGATTACTTGGAGGAATAGCGGAAATCTTTAAGCAACAACTCCAAATGATATGTTTTGAATAATTTATTCTGTGGGTGGGATAGAGTAAGTAGCCTACGAGTATCGCAGATGTGCCTCTGTCGCTCACGAAAGTACGCGACCGGCGCAGGGGCCTTACAAAATGGTCTGATAGGACTAATGAAAACGTGTGGATCAACTACTCCTGCACACCCCATGATACGCAGCGAGGATTACGGCGTGGCGGCTAATTCAAATACGCGCGGGTTTGTGGAGCTGTGGGACAAGCAAGACCAGAAAACTCGTCCGGCCCCCCTTCCTAATTGTGAGAGAGGAAGAGAGGGAATACTGTAAACGACTTCATCGGCTGTTCGCTTTGGTTCTTTTTTCATTTTCACTTAGTTCGGCATCTACATTTTTATTGTCAGCCGCCGATACCCCACATTTTCGTATTGGGGTTGTTGCTTTAAGTTTTTATAAGCGTTGAGAGAAGAGATGCCATGTCCTTTTCATAGTGAAGATCTGAAGTTCTTGCTTGTAGGAAACCCTCGGTGACTTAAAATATACAGTATCGGCTAAACCAAATAGCTTTAGCAAAATGAACAGGGTTAATTCTGGGATAATGGCCTTTCGTACTTCAGATTACGTTTGTATGATTAATTTTATTTTGTTCCTTTTTGAACTAGCGGTTTTAGGAGCTGGCTGCTCTCAAGGCGGAGCAAGAAGATCTGCTTGTCTTGTTAGCAGATCAGCACAACAAAATCACGCAATATCGTAATCGACTGAAGGATCTTCATCAGGATGTAACCGATGATGAGGATGACTGAATTGTTTTTCGTTTTATTATTGTTATTCCAAGCAAGAATGTATATCTCTCGAAAAGCTCACGTGTCCATTATTACAAGTCTTCCTTTTTCTTCTATTTCTTATTGCCAGCCCTATTCCCTATTACCCCTGATAGGTTTGAAAACCTAGGGAAGGATTTTGTTTTCAGGGTATCTATTTTGGTAATGGCCGGTTTAGATGATAGGTTGTGGTTATCGCAAAGGATTCCTTGGTTCGACCTTGTTGTGATTATAGGTATTTAGATAAGTAGTAGAAGTACTAAGATTTAGAGCTGCTCTAAAGTGAAATGTTGTAGGCATGATTTCCCAAAAATTCGGGAAATTGAGGAGCTAGCTCCATCTCCAAAGGAGTTGATTCCATTCTTACTATTGTGCAATGTGCAATTTCTTTTGCTTGTTCGTTTGTCTGAGGTGATTGACTTTGGTCTCGTCCGGGTGCAAATCGACCAATCAAGTAAGGGGTCCTTTTTGATCCGCGCGCGTCTTTTGTTCGTTGCCTCAGAAATCCTTCGCGAGTCATGAACTGTAAACTACGGTCGATCGAAGGTGCGATTGTGATAACTCGTTTCTTTGTGGTCATGAAAATCTACTTGTGTACCGATTGAAAATGACGATTTACTCATATATTTGTTAGGTAGTGTCCAATTTCGAATGTATCTTAAGATTTGTTTACTATGTAAGATCTTTATGTGGCTGCTGATGGATGTCCAGCCCCAGAATAAGGACACATCCTGACTGATTTCTTTACATGCTGAATCGAATAACTGTGATGGTGTGGGTCAAAATAGAGTTTTTATTATACATATATTTATGAAAGAGCCCTGTCGTCTTTTTTGGAGATCATATTAAAGTATCGTATATATGCGTTATTCCATTACATAGTTGAAAAAGGTCTATAGTTGCTTGAACCTCACCCTCCTTTTACACGATAACTTCAGCACACATAGGGCATTAGCAGGAAAAGCCGCCCCTTCCTCTCCGTCCGCAGTTCTGTGTACTTCATTGGGCATGGAAATTAGAGTTTCCTTTCCCTTGCATCGTTACGAATTGATTGCTGTGTCCCTTGGGTTGGTTAAAAGTTCGTTGTTTTTGTTAAGGTCATTTTCAAAGTGATTGATTTCTTCAAGTACGTTCAGGTAGTGCTAAAGGTTTCATACACCACTAAGGCCTCCGTGCTCTGCTAAATGTATAATTCCCCTCTGTTGCCAAACCTTGAATTACAACCTACTCACAGGCATATTGGCACGAAATTCTCTATTCCGAGCTAACAGGGGAGGTCCTTCAGGGGTACGCGCTTTCAAAACGGATTGGCATATGTAGGAGGCATGAGGGGCAATGCAAGCCATATTTCTTTTCCGTGAACATGGTAGCAGTGACCAAAAAAGAAGCATTAGGTACTGTTAAGGGTTCGATCCCTAGTGGCGACCAAATTTTGCATTTGGGTTGGCGCCTACGGTTTGGTGCCAAATCGCGCTAAATATCAAAATCAGATGTCAAATTCATCGTCAGGACCATTTTGAAGCCAACAAGTGGCCGCCAACCTTGATTGCAAAATTTAGTCGCCGCGAGGGATTGAACCATCAAGAGTATTATTCACACTTTTTTTGGTAACTACTAAAACTGTTCAGCGGAAACGAAACATGGTTTTGGGTTGAACATCGTTCCGTAACAACATGAACTGAACTTTTTCTATCAAAAAGTGCGCACCTTGCCTTGAAGGACCTCCCTTGTAAGATTCGGCCAGTGCGAAAAATGTGAAAACGAGTCGCAATATCAAGTGAGCATTTGGTCCCGAATCCGCAAACAATACGCTGCGCAGTCGCAATTTAAAATGTTTGCTCGCGATGTGAAGGCTTCGGGTGAGACTAGGGTGGTGGTCGGATATCGATAAGATTAGAAAAGAGTTTTGGTCCTAAAGAAATTGACAGGACTGTATGAGGGGCTACTAGTCTGGAGAAGTTAGGTGGAGTACCGATTTGGGTCCCAATACAGGGAGGAGGCCAATAAAAGAAAGACATTTTATCTACCACTTTCGGATGAATTTAATCTACTTAGGGTCATTTCAAATTCAAACAAAACAAAATTTTGAAGTTACCAAAAAAAATACGTATTAAAGAGGTAGTTCATTCTGGAAAGAAATCTTATAGTGTCCCATCTACTATGTGGGACAGCACCAGAGAACTTGCCCCGGGAACTAGGTGAAGCGACTGGGTTCGAGCTCATGGGGTCTTCGAAGGATCGTGTACCATAACGACCCTTACTGGAAAGCGAGTTTTCGAGGGGATTTGCATAGTGGGAGCTAATGTCTCTAGGAAAACTATCCAACATTGAATCGATTCACGAAATTATGTAAGAGCTTCAGGCTGAAGCAGTTACGGTAGGCCTCCTTGAGCTTGACGACGATGACAGATGACGTCATATTCTGAAAACGGCACCTATATTCACCTATATACAGGGGTGAGGGCAGTGAAGGAGGGAGGGCCTGCTCGAAGAGGGACATTAGGGAATACTTTGCTGAGGAACCCCGTCAACGACGGCAATCTCTGCGAAGAAAAAAGGGCCGAAGTGCGACATGAGCAAATGTTTTTTTGCCCCTCCCCCTGTATATAGGTGAAGGAGAAAAGTTCAAGGAAGTCGACAAGAGGATGCAGCGATCTATCTCCCCACGGTTGCGCTGCCCTATCTTGCACTTCCAGCCATGCACAATTTGAATTAGCTACGATAGTGTGCCGCTAGTGTTTTATTCAGTGGACCTACTGCCTACTGGGTAAAACTTATCTAGCCACTAGATGGTCTCTTTGAAGGCATCGAATTGGCGTGGTCCTTGCACACCAATGCGGATGCATTGTGCCAAATGGGCCGGCAGTGAAGAAAAAAGGAAAAGAATCCGTCGAAAACGCTTAGGTTAAGGGCTCACTCACCTTCTAATCGGCTGTGCTAAGGAATGAGAGACTAAGCGCGGAGAGGAGAGTATGAGGCGAGAGAGCGCAACAGATGAGAGGGCGCCAGACAACAGCCTGATAAAGAAAAAATCTGCAGCTGCTGCAGCTTACTTTGCAAGGCCCTAGCGCTCTTGTCGGTTGATTTCCGTGCACGGAATGCCACATCTGTGATTGTCCTCTAGGGGTCTATCCTACAGACCGAAGGGAATCGTTCACACGACTTCTGCCTGGGTTGTGCCTTTAACCCATTCGTGACAATGGCAGCCACCGGTGGCTGACAAAGATCTCACTCGGACAATGGCATCCACCGGTGGCTGCCGTGTTTCAAATGGAATTTGGAAAGTTTTCTTTCCTGAAAAGAATCTTCATACCCTCATTCATCTACGCCAGCCCTGGGCAGGGAAATCTCCATCCACTCAAATTTTATTGTAGAAAAATCTCCCGACTCTCCTGCTAAGGCCGATGTCAGACTTTGCGAATTCGCGCGATTCGCTAGCGTCCGCGGTCGCGTTGCGGTACCAGCCAATTGAGTGATTCACTGGCCGCGACGCGACGCGATTCGCAAAGTCTGACATCGGCCTAATGCGAATCTCGTGCGGTCGGGAATGAGTTAAAGGGACTAGGCGTTGAAATCCAACAGACCGGGACGACCTTCACCGGGTTTTTTGTCTACAGAACTCCAGCACTTTTATCATTCGCGTCCATTCACCTTCATTTTCGGTGGCAAATCTGTTTAATCTATTTATTTTTATATTTATTATGTTGTGGTAATCTTTTCTTCGTCGGCCTTTCCCGGCCTATCCCTTCTCCCAAAAGTACAAAGACTGTAACGGTTATTATTTCGGTCAGAAATGCCTTTTTAAACCATGATATGCATTATATAATTTTAGGGTCATAATGATCATAACTTTTCGAACAACCCATTTAAGTGCGCTTTCGATTTCTAGCAGAAACGTTGCGAAAAATTGGAATGGGGTACTATTTTATAGTAACGTCAACATAATCCGAGTGGATGTTCCGGACTTCGAGCCAGCAGGCGCTGCAAACTACATAAGCCCACACTAGAAGTTCCACGAAGTGGTTGGTTAAGCTCCGTAAACGAGTGAAAGTGCCCAACGGCAAGTTCAGTATGAGAGGCACAGGATGTCTTGATTCAGGTCACTGTTGACGATCCATCTCTCTCCAGAACGCAATTGTTGGGAGCGTATTGAGAAGTCTGCAAACCTGTGCGTCTGTGCGACAGAATGGCAACAACCTTGTGTGGCTGCTTCAAATTATGATGTTGTTCCAGGAGTTCCCTGCGATCGAATGTGTTACAGTCGCGGCTCTAGCGAAGGTGTACCCCGAACGGGGCGTCCGGAATTGTTGTCAGCGAAGGACGCATTGGAGGGTAGCAAATCGTTAGGAATCCTACGTATTTGTGTGCTGAAAACCTGAAGAAAGGTGTTCCCACGATGAACGCTTCTGAAAGCCATATTCTATGTATTGTAGAATGTATTGTCGTTTGACTGTAAACGTTGCTCCAAATATCGTTTATTGCTTTCTAGAATCGCGTTTTAATACCAATACCATTATGCCTACATAAAACTTACCATATCCAGCACGAGCCTTTTAAATGCATGGTCGATATAAAAAGGACGTCAGCGGTTAGGGGGCGATTCACCATCCAATTTCTTAGACATACTATGACGTCCCATCAAAGCAATGCCTGAACGTGAAAATCCTACCATGTGTGATTCGAATTAGTTCTTATTATAGAAACCTTTAGTAGGATTACTCGCACGTGTTATGGAGCCTGAGTAGGTAATTGCAAGTGCGTTTGGGCCAGTAGGCGCTGAGGAAAAGATGCATATCGATCTGTTGCTCCGCCCATTGAGCGATCGCCTAATCGCCTACTCGCTACGCCTAATCGCCTACTCGCCTACTCGCCTACAACGCTCTATGGGCGGAGCAAACCAATCAATACGTATGTAGTCTTCCCGCCTAATCGCCTGATCTATACGTATATTTTTCCATATAGGCCAATCGCCTATCGCC